CCGTCTATTCTTACAACGTATACATTTTGATCACTGGAAATGTTTTTTCGTCAGTCTCTTAGCAAAAGTTGAAATCACCGTGTATTGATGTTTACCAATAAAAATTAAATCCTGCCAAACCTAATTATAATGTATGTCAGCTGTCTGACTGCAGCTGTCTTGCCTAGAATAAGATCTGAAATGTTTCTGTGGCACTGAATGTACACGGTTTGTGAAGTGCTTTTGGATCTTACAGGATAAAAGGGATAAATCTACTGAAGAAGGCCTTTAGCTAAGCTACTGGGTTATTTTAACAAATAAGAAATGGTGATAAACTTGAGGCAATTCAGTATTTGTCTAGACACTTGATAATATTTGAGTGGGGTGTGGGAGAGATATATGGTCTAAGTATTCTGAGCACAGGATTCTATGCCAGAATCTCTTGACTTGATTAATGCTTTGGTCTTGGCAAGTCAATTCTCTGCCTCCATTTCTGTTCTGAGAAAGAGACATGTCAACCTACTGGAGTGTTGAGAGAGGTCTAATACAACACTTTTTCTATATTTCACTGCATTAATACAATCCTTATTTTCTACGTTAGACATAAAGGCCAGGGACAAACATTACACGTAAACCAGTTTAAGTGATCAGAAACTGGTTTAAGATAAACCTAGTTGAATGTAGCATCAGATGTAACTGATTTGGCTCAAACCAGTTAATGCATTGTCTGTCCCAGACCTTTTGCCAGTCTGAGTTAAATCAGAGACCTCCAGCATCCCAGCATGCTCTCTGGGCGGGGCTCTCTGCTCCAGCCGAGCCAGGCTGGCCCTGGGCCTCTGCTCCACAGCCCGAGCAGGGGCAGGGGTCTGGCCAGAGAGGGGTTTAATTCCCCCACTCTTGCCACTGTGGCAGAGACCTGAACTGGGTCTGCCCGCACTCCCCCCTCGCTGCTGCAGCAGGGGGCACCCCTGAGGCAGACTGGGGCAGGAAGCAGAGTTAGTTTCCCCTCTATGTCACTGGCAGCTGGGTGGCTCTGTGCCCAGAATAGGCCCCTGGATGGGACCCTCTGCTGGCGGTCAGAGGAATAACCCCTTCCTTCCCCCACACCAGGGACCCTTCCTGGCCATGCCCCTTCCCCACTGCTGTGGCGGGAGGAGCAGAGCCCTTACTGGTGGTGGCAGCTCCTTTCACACTGTGGGGGAGAGCAATCCCTTCCTGGTGAGGGGCTGTGCACGGCAGCGCCAAGGTGTGGAGCAGGCCAGAGCCCTACAAGCCCCTGCAGTGCTGCCACACTTCACGGCCATTCTGCTGGCCCCACAGAGCAGCCCCACCAGTGTCTTGCCTTGGCACAGAATGAGCTGTGGGGGCCAGCCCCATCCCTGCCCGGCAGTTGGAATGGCGAGAGGTGAATGCCCGATGGGCAGGAGCCCATCATGGCTTCCCAGTGGGGCTGCGCTGTGGGGCTGGCAGAGTGGCTGTGGATTGTGGCAGTGCTGTGACGGCTTCCAGGGCTCTGACCCGCTCCACACCCTGGCGCTGCTGCGTGTAGCCTGAGTCCACAGCCCAGCCCCTTGTCAGGAAGGGGCTTGCTCTCTCCCACAGTGTGACAGTGGCCAGCCCCAGTAAGGGCTCTGCCCTTCCCACTGCAACTGCATGGAGGGGACATGGCCAGGCAGGGCCCCTGGTGGGGGGGCAGGGATGGGGTTATTCCTCGGGTGGAGTGGCCAACCGGGGGCCTACACCGGGCATGGAGCCACCCGGATGCCAGTGGGGTAGAGGTGAAACTAACTCTGCTCCCTGGCCCCCTCTGCCTCAGCGGCCAAGATGCCTCCCTGTTGCAGCAGCAAGGGGGGGGGAGTGCAGGTAGACCCGGCTCAGGTCCCTGCTGGTGGCACAGGGAGGGAGAATTAAACCCCTCTCTGGCCAGTTCAGCCTGGGTTGGCCATGCCTCCCAACACAGCTTCCCTGCAGCCAATGGCTCCCTGGTGCTCCCTGGTTCCTGGCCTGAGCAACTGCAGGCATGTGCCTACATTGCCTCAGTCCAGAGAGCATGTCTGTCCTGTTGTGAACTGGTTCAGCCTAGGCAGGTTAGACTAACCTGCAAAGGTTGAATCGGTTCAGGTGCCAGCTTTTTGAATGCCTGTCCCTAGCCAAAATGTGACATGGTAGAGTAGCATGATATATAGACATACATACACACACATTGCAGTATCTTATAAAGAAGACATGGAAAATTCTGCTTACCCATCAATCCAATTTAGGAAGTCTCTCTTGGCAAGTAAGCAGGAGCTTAGACTAAGAGGCAACATTTGGGGGTCTGAGAGCTCCATTCTCTAAATTTATGATGGACCTATGCTTGACGTATTGCATCTCCCTTTATGCCACCTCTCAATGTGTTTTTTTAACCCATGACACTTTCCTTAATGCAGTTAGGGATCCATTCTAGTCCCATAGTTTCCCCCTTGCCATCAGCAGTTGCTATTAATTCCAGGGAAAATTAATGACTTATGGTGCAAACAAGCATTGAAGCATATGGTGCAAAGTCTACCAGTTTTGTTCTTCCAGCAGAAAAACCTACTGGGCCCGCACTGTTCAAACATTACAGGGGCTGGGAGGCTGCTTCACAGTCTGCGCTGCTACCACCACACAGCTACGAAGGCCCTGTGCATGCATCCCAACTTTTGCAGGCTCCCATCTGCTGGAGACAGCTGACAACAGCTGAAGGCACAGGTCAGCACTGACTGGATGGTTGCCTAAGGGGACTGCTGCCCTTGCCTACAACACCCCTTCCTTTCTTCCCAACTGTCAGGCTCTGAGACAGCAGTGTGTGTCTGCTGTCTTTTCGAGCCTGTCAATTTCCCCTCCAGCAGCCTGCACTGGAACCCTACCCCTCTGGTACCAGTCTACGGACTCAGATTCAAAGCAGGTTGGAGGAGTCTGGTTGGGGTTTGGGGCTAGCAGATGGGGTGCTGGGTGGTCAAGGTTGGGTTCTGCTGAGTCTGGGTACAGGGGTAGGGGGAGGGAAGGGAGAGAAGGGGGTCTAGGCACTTCAGGTCCTCCATGATTGGACCTGGATCTATCAGACCCTGCCCCTTCCCAGAAGCAAACTGTGTAAACCTGGCACCAACTGTACCCTCCAGATCCACTCCCCCAAGACCTGAATTAGCATTTCAAGTGTGATCTGCATCCATGGTGGCGGGGTGGGGGGGGTTGCAGGAACAGTGGAGGCAGGAATGAGCCAGTCTGGGTCCACAGAGGGAGTGGATCTACACAGTCCAACAAAGGTGGACAGGTGTTGGGTTTTCCCAACCCCAAAGCTGTCAAGGGGAAAGGTTTGCTGTGAGCCAGGCTGCAGCAGCAGAGGTCTCTCGGGGGGTAGGGGAAGAGCAAAGCAATGCATGCTGGGATGCTGGAGAACAGAGGGGCAGCTTTGATCAGAGGGGTAAGTGTACAAGCATTCGTTTCTCCAGTAGAACTTCTATCCCCTTAAACGTTTTTCTACCGGACCTGCCGTTTTTGGTCTGGTAGAAACCAAGCAAATGCTAATACACCTAAGGTTTCTACCAGTAGCACTGTGATTCCACCAGTAGAAATGTAACACTTGTATGCACCTTTATTATAAAGCTGATATAATAGCTGAACAAATGGTATATTGATCAGTACCCTAGGTGTTTTTTAAATGGAGATATTTTTAACGATCTTCAGGCTGATGCTCTGAACCCAAAGCCTGAAATGAAGTGCAGCATGAGAAAAGGTTTCACATACTGGTATTCCAGAAATTTTCAGAGGCTCACACATGACAGCTAGTGAGCATCTAGTCTTTGTCTTTTGTACTAAGCATCTGGTTCTCAACACTACAGCTGCAGTCTTCTTGTGTAATTACTGTTATCAGCATTTTCTTTCTGCACTATTTTAAGGCATTTTATTCTTTCATATTAAATTTAACTGAAGCTTTCCTTTACACAAAGGATTGTATTCATTACAAAATATTGTTAGCTATTTGTTCTGCAAGCACAAGGAAAGAGTAATAAAAATGTGTTTAAATATTTAACCCCTTAAAGCTAGGATGATTGTTATGCTTCATTAAGTTATTCAGATGTGTGCACAGTAGCTGTAAACTTGTTTCCACGCAAAAGAACCAAAAAAGATGTCCCCTGAATATTTTATTTCAAAGAATCATTAAACACAGCCTATTTACCTATTTGGCTGCTGCTGTATTTTAACTGAGAAACTCACCTTTAATGCCAATCCATCAAATGCCACTGAAGTGCTGGCATTCCAGTGAAATAACTGACCTGTAACAAGGATCATTCCTTTGCAGAGTATGCTTGCAGTATCCAGCCATGTATATCTAAATACTGTTCTAACAGAATATAAACCTTAACAATCTCTATTTTGTAAAACTTTCCTAGTCTTCATATAGCAGGACCCAAGTACCATGTATATCTCATTAGAGAGACAGAATCCATGTTCTGAGATATTTCAACAACTAATCTTGTAGCAAACAATTAATTTTTACACTAAGATTATATTTTATACTGGGGTGACCAAGACACAGCCTGTAGGCTGGATTCTGCCTGCAAGGCTCCTCACAGGTCCAGAAATTTGGTAGTGCAGCTATGGCTCCTGGCCTCCTACTCATCCAGCTGCCAAATTTCTAGACATATGGGGAGCCCCATAGCTGAAGCCAGAGGGTGGAACTACATTATCTGTAAATCTGGCAATAGGAACAGTGGTGGCTGCCACAGCTCTGGGAGCTATAGTAATTAATGCTGCTGCTGCCATATTATAGCCCTGCAAACCAGAGGACATCGCCTCTTGCTCTGAATCTGGTTTGCAGATTGGCCTGGTGTTCCAGATCTGGCCTGCAGGGCCAGATGAGTTGAGTACCACTGCTTTATACTAACACAAGTGATTTTCCCACATCTTAAGTGAGAGTGGAATATTACTGTTCAACAGTCATTTCAATCTAGCATAAAGTATTTCAATCCAAGGGCTATTAAAATAACCTAAAGAGTTACCTTTAGCCTCTCTTCCTTTCCCTTTTAATTCTCTGTGTTTAACATTCTTGGAATATCCTTGAGGAGAACCTGAAGCTGTATCATCTGCAGGAGGAGAGTGAGTACTGCACATGCTGCTCTCACTGTTTGGTTTGTGTACCGGAGAAGAGTGAGTGGATGCAGAAGGGCTCGACTCTAACAAACTCTCTGAGCTTTCCATTTGTTCTGGCTTTTCAGTAGTTTGATCTACATCATTCAGCAGAGATGGGGCTGGCTTTTCTGTTACTTCTAAAATCTTGGTTTGATATGCTATAGAAAAATCCCTGTTATGGAAAGTATCCTCTGTATCCTCATCCTGTAAATAAAAATAAAAATATTATATAAAATATAGTATGCAATCATGCAGCCATGACATCCATTATGAAAATCTTTATTATTTGCTTTTTAATAAAATTAATCTTAAAACTATACAGAAAAAATTATGTCTGCTATTTTCTACACAAGATTTTGGAGTTCATTTTTTCCTCTTTGATCAAAATAGAAATTGACCTTATACTGCACTGTTTATTAGGGGTGCACTGATAAAGATTTTTTTTTGTTGATTATTAACGAGCCATATCGGCCAATTATTAATGAGCCACATGACTGTCGATGTGCAGCCCAGCAACTTGAAGAGCAGTGTCTGGCTGGTAAATCTTTTGGGCGGGGGGAGGGAAGTAGCGTGGCAGTAAGGGAGGGAGTAGGGCTTGGGCAGGGGCTATCCCAGCCAGGGAGGGGCATGGGATGGAGCTGTGAACGGCTTGTCCAGGGAGTGCAACCCACTCCCTCCCCTACTGCTGATTGGAGGGGAGAGGGAGATGGGGATGACCTTCTCCTATATTCAAGTAAATGCAAGAGTTCCTATTACAAAAAAAAAGAGCTTAGTTTTGGGTAACATTAAAATGGTGAAATGAGAAAAACATACAACGATATGTACTATATATAGATACGAGTACCTGTAGATTTATATTCTGTGGTCCAGCTCCAAGAGATTCTTTCAGCTTTGATCGAGAAGGTGGCTGACGTTTTACCTTCAAAGCAAGCTGAGCTTTTGCCTTGTGAGCACTGGTATCTAACCTTGGAGTATCTCCCACAAAAGCATCAAAATCTGAGATAAACACAAAATACTTTTTAAAGATTGAGCACCAGGCAAGCTTTCCAACTTATTAATATTGTCAGAAGACATTGGCTGCCACATGTCTGAATGACAAATCAAGCTATCAAACATTAATACTGTAGACAACCAATCTGGAAACAGGCTTTTTTAGGCCCAGTAAGAGAACACGTACACCTGAATATAATTAGCAGACTTTTCAAAAGGCTTTTGGGAAGGTATGGTGGGACATCTGGATAGTTCTTTACAGCTTTGAGAATGGATTAACACATTGGCAGAAACTGATTTGAAGTAGTCTCCCCTTGTTTATTCTCATCCAATTGTATATTTTTCTTCACTAAACACTAGCATGAGCTTTCCAACTCACCAGGACATTAAGTAGCCTATTCTTTTGGAGCAAACATATTCAAACTTTCTAGAGAGTGAGAGACAGGGCAATAGAACAAAGAGGGAAAGTCATGGTTATGAAGTGTCAGGTGGAAGGCTTTTTCTGCTCAGGACAACATACTGGTGCTTGGAAACACAAGGAAGGAAGCCAAGTGCTCTATTTCAGAGGTTTCTTTAAGTAAAGAAGCCCCCAAAAAGGAAGAAATAAGGTTAATTCAAGTAATGATCTTATGTGACAATTTCATCAGCTCAGATTGAGAAGCAGAGGAGTGTAGAAAAAACTAGCTGCATCAGCCTTGAAGGTGATACTTGTCCTAGGCTGCTCCCGTGCTGGGGTTCTTCTCTAGAATACCTGACCTTCTACTCTAAACCCTAAAAGCTGAAGGTACCTGCAGCAGAAGCATCCAATTCAGAGTAATGTAATTTCCCCACTCTTCCTTGTGTTCATCTACTACAGTGGGAATTATGCCAAGCTGGAGTGGAGATCTAGGGGTGGGCAGAAGAAATTCTGAGCAGTAAGGACACATTACAAGAGGAGTATAAGAACTATCGCCCATTTCTTAAGAGTTATAAAACTTCCTCTGCTTTTTAGGAGTTTTAAGAATTTTACGAGCATAAAACCTCAATTAAAAAAAATCAAAATTAAAACTGTGATCGCTCTAGCTGCTTCAGAAAGAGACAACTATTCAGTTACCAGAGATGAGGGATGTGGACAAAAATTCCTCCGTCTAGACTGGCTGCTACTTGCTTGATAGATGAAAGGACACATACATCTATTAGACACACTTATGGCAGAAACAGTAACAACTGGTGTAAATACCATATATTCTGATATTCAGGAGACATTTCCTTTGCATAGTCATTTTGATATACCATTATGCTGAAAACTGACTATTTTACCTATTTATTTTAGCACTTCTGACTATTATAAAACTTGTTTCCCTTCTCATAAGAGGACATCTAGGCAGTTTTAAGGCCGAGAGCAAAGAGCAGCACTCTCATCAATTGTCAAAAATAATTTAAGTGTTTATGCAGTGTATTCCACTGATAGGCATACCAGGTAAGTGCAAAATTTGCTTAATTGGAAATGTAAACTTCATTGCTAAATAGGAAATAAGCAAAATTCAACTCCCTGCCTGACATCTGACACCTTCAGGGAAGAAACCTGCTGGAGCTTGGCTTAATCTGCATATTCACAGAGCAACCTTTTCACAAATGGACTTTGAAACACAGGGGAACCACAACATCCTTTACCTCCCCTGTACAAGCTGAAGTTTCTTTTCTACCTGAGAGAACTTTTACAAATCTTTGAACTCTCCTGTGCCTGAAGAAGGGTGTTTGGACCTGAAAGCTTGCAAAGAAAGAACATTTTTTGCTACTATTTAGCTGGTCTAATAAAAGATATCACCTCTAACCCAAAGAGTTTTGTCTGTTTCTAATTTGCTTAATTGCATGCATAGCACACAGCCAGTTCCCATTTCTTACATTATAACAAATGCTTGTTATTTGTCATAACGATTGAGTGCATAAATCATATAAGTGCACACATCTTTCAGCCCCACCATCTATTTTATAATGTAAACATAACCTAGTTAACAGCATAAAAATGATGAAGAGGAAAGCAGCAGTCCAGGGGCTGCTATTAGAAACTTTGAGGGTGACTGCTAAGAGCTAGCAGTTCTGAAACTATCTCACTTTCAAGGTTTCTAATAGCAATCATGAAAGTGTTACCAGGTTATACCCTCATAATTCACTAGGACACCGGTAGGTCATTAACTCAGATCAACAGTTGTCCAGTTTTATGTGATCCTTTCCTTCTAGTCATGATCAACTCATTCTAGTTAGCAGAATGAGAAAGACAGGATAGTTGTGACCATCTGACACCTGTTGGCAACCACCTGCATCAGAAGTCCATAATTTTGGGCATTAAAAACCCATCTGTAACTATTCCACTTCCACCTTCCTCTCCAGTAGCTTGTATTTATTCAGTTCCATGCTGTTCAGTACATAAATCGGACCATGAAATGAGGAATGAATCTTCTACAGTTTCTAACAATCTACTTGACAGCTACCAATTTTACACGTTAAATAAAGCTGGCCAAAGTCAAAATCCACATCAATAGCATAAGCAACCTGCTATTGGGATTTACCCGAAACTGCCAACCATCAAACAACATGGGGCTAAACAAAAACAAAGTAGAAACACGAAAGGGAATTGCCATTTTCTCTTCTCTTCTGCTCATTTTGTTTGCAGCTAAGACGACATCATATGAATAACCTGATCACATAGTGAATGATGAAAATCATAACAAAACAAGGACAAAATGGAGAATCTATTGTACCCAACTGTACCTAGACTAATGTCTAACAATATATTCTACTGCAATACACAAAGTGAGTATACTTTGAGTTAGGTCCAGGTGTGTATTTTATCTGTCACCGACAAGTCTTCAACTAGATATATTTGTTTATTCATTTCAAATCCAGCAACAATACAAAGTCTACCCATTCTTCTGTAATAACAGAGATGCAGATTTTCTATAGTCTATGATTTAGGACTAGGACAATGCTTTCCTTGAAAAAACTGAAAAGAAAAAAAAAGGAAAAGAAAAAAAAAAAAAAAAAGGGGGGGGGAGACTTTTTTTCAAGATACTTAAAAAAACCAGGGAACTTATCATCAAAAGGAAGTTCAGAAAAAATGGAACAAATACAGCATAATAAGCTTCTTCTGCTAATTTCTGGGTTTCTGGAAATCCTGTCAAAGCTCAATATTTTAACTTAGTAAATTTTTCCAATAAATATCAAAAGTTATTCTATTAAAACATAATTGTTTTATTGTCTGGAAATGGAATTCTAGAATGCATTCAAGTTACTGTCAGTAACCTGAGACACCCAGTTTTCTTGTAAATAGCTACATAAAACTCAAAAAGAAAAAACTACTTTAACTTCCTAAGGTTGCAGCAAGAATGATGCCAAACATGTTTGTGTTTATACAGTGCTCTAAGATGCTAATTATAAAACTACTGAACCCCTTTTTTGTACATTAAAAATATTAGCCAGCCATTTACAGTAGAAATTACAGGCCTTTTTTTTTTTTTTTAAAGCAGACTAAATCTTTTTGACAGAACGGAACACTGCCAAGGTCCTCTGAACTCAGGCCTAGTGCTCTTTCCATTAAGTAGGCTTCTTTTGCATCTCTAGTTTCCTACACCCTACCCAAAATATATCAGGGCTACTAATACTTTTTTATATTGCATCACATACTGAAGTGTCTCAAATTCTTTATGCAAAATGTAACTCACAACCACTCCCATACACCTTTAAAATATTGAAGGTAACCAAAAAACCCCAACAAAACCCAATATAGAATTTTAAGATTTTCTTAATTATTGCTTAATTTACCAGAAAATAATGTGTCTGAAGAATCTATTTTTTCCACTACCAACTCCATTTCTTTTGCAATGTCTTCTTTTACTTCAGAGTGTTCATTTAGTTGTTCTGGACTTTGAGAGCCAGCCTCCAGCAAACCTCCAAACATGTAAGGTATTCTCTCATATATTTTTAATTTGCTTTCAAGCTCTGAAATCTGTAAGTGTTAAAATGCAAAGAGTTAGATGCCACTTTTCAAGAATGTGAAAGTGGTATTCAGAATAAGATACTGCCTAACCTTTTCCTGCAACATTTTCAGCTGTTCTGAATGTTTCTGGTCTCTCTCTCCAAGTACCTTTGTGTGATCCTCTTCTTTTTTCATAAATTCTATTTCTCTGGGGAAAGAAACAATTGTATTGCAACACTCGAAGGACTTCTGCTGATAGGGAAACACACTAAAATTGGAAACTATATATTAAGCTAGCGAGAATAAGTAAAGTTCAACCTGAACTGGAAGTTATAAAAACCAGTTATCTTATATTGAGATACTTACAACACAAAATATTTTACAAACCTTAACTACAGCACTGACCACAATTTAGGCTACCTAAAAGCAAGAGAGAAACACATTTTTTGGGGGTGAGTTTCACTTTAATAGTACTTACTTTTGTTGGTAATCTTTGAGTAATTTCTTGGCCTTATTGTATTTCTTCTCTAGGGTATCGTACTGTTCCTGGGTTTCTTTAAGATGTTCATTCACTGTTTTACATAAACTTTGCGCCTCTACCCAATAGGTCTCCAACTTCTTAATTTTCTCTTTGTTCTCTTCTAAAGTTTGCTGAAGCTGAGCTTTGCTGGACTCCCATTCAACCTTTTCAGCTTCAGTAGTTTTTAACTTAAAACATTAAGAACAAGATATAAAAAAGATTAAAAGTTAACATCTGAGCAGTGATAAAATACTTAAGCACAGAACGACCACTGACACTTAATCTTACTAATAAGATTAAATGCTAAGCAATTAATTTGTACAGTGTTTTTTGTTATCAAATGTTTCGGGGGTGTTGGGTAGCTGTGTTGGTCTAAACCTTCTAAGGACATAGGCAGAAACGGTTCTTTAGATAAAGGTGATATCTTTTATTAGATCAACTAAATAGTTGCAAAAATTGTTCTTTGCAAGCTTTCAGGTACAAACACCCTTCTTCAGGCAGAGAGAGAGTCATATATCTAGGGGTCAAAAAACCCTACACAACCCCCCCCCAAAAAAGCACTGGAGAGGCACATGTGGGGGGCAGTGTGCGCTGCTCAAAACCAGTGCCTAGCTGGCTGGAGGTACATTGTGACTACCAATCAGGCTCCAAGCACCAGGATTGCCACCACTGCATCCCCAGGAGGACCCCAGAACCCCAGGTAAGATTGCTGGGGCCAGCCCAGCGCTGGCCACAGCCTCCCCTACCCCACCTGATGTAACCTGTCACGTGCCAGAGGGAACATGGCACAGGAATTCCCCTGAGACAACTAGCGGCAGCACAAGATGTACTGATGCTAGTTGTCCCCGGGGAACCAAATGTCCACACTTGTCTGGACACAGCCATTAGGGGCAAAAAATCTAGTATCTTTCAGTATGGAGCTTGTTACATTTATAAAAGGGAATATAAAATATGGAGTCTGCAACATAAGCAGGACATCTCTTCTAGTCCTATGTTCCTGAGAAATCTACCCTTTTCCTGCCCTAATATCTTCCTAGCTGATTTGCTTGCAAGTCACTAAAGCTTGCTATTGAAAACGGATCAGCGTATGAAGACCATTTTACTTTCTTAAAGTTTGAAAACATAGAATCAACTTCAGGGCTGGATCCTAAACTCCTGATTCTGTTTAAAATAATTAACGGTCAATTTTAGCAGTAGAAAGAGTTCAGCATTTTGCATCTAGGCAAGAACTGTCGTCTCCATTATTTTAAAACAAACAAAAACATCTCATGATTCCCCTTCTGTCATGCTGGAACATGAACTTGGTAATGCTTCCCCCAGGTCTAAATATCTGCATTTTGCACACTCAGATATAGCTCAGTTGTCTAGTTTTTAGAAACGGGGCAGAAGGATGCATGTTGTATAGCAATATTACATTACAACTAACTGGCCGTTATAGAGACAAATAAATAGCCAAAATTCACCACAAATTATTTAGAACTTTGTAGTTCTCCAAGATACCTTGTACACATACACTCCATTTCCAGAGCACATGGAGCTCATGGGCACAACAAAGAAAACCTGAAAAATGTGTTGGGGTTCTCCCTGCATCATGTTACCTCCAGTTACCCACAAGAAGAGGCATAAAGGGCAGAGTGAGCCTTCCATTTCCTGTCCCAAAACATAATCCAGTAAAACAGTCCTTCAGGAGGTTGAGAGTTATCAAAAATTCTTGTATCAGAAACAGGGTAGAAGGCTGTACTGGACTCAGTCATTCTGCATTATGGGGCTAACACAATTATGACGCAGTTACATTAGGTCTTCCAGTACCAAAAATCTCATTAGTGCGAAGAAGGCTGGTGCTTTTAATTCCAAAAGTCAGATCAGTACCATAGCGTGCAATACCAGGCACTCCACTCTCAGTAACCAAGGGTTTCAGCACCACATGTGAGCCTGGCTCTGCACAAGTGCCTCAGTACTGAAGGCTACAGCATTAGTGTAGGAGGACCTGATCCATGCCCTTGTGGGATCTTCAGTGACAACACGAGTCGATCACAGCTCTAAATTTCTGGTTCATAGGAGAATGCTGACATTGTTAAGATTTGGAATGATTCTCAATTTTTCCACACAATGGAGGATCCATAACATTTGTGGTCTGAAAACACAAGGTAGTGTTTCTGAAGCAAAATATGCTCCACAGTACTCACTGGCTCCTAACTGAAATTCAATATTCTTGCAAATTTCACACCTGCCCAGCATTGAACAACAGCAAAGAAAGTGACCCAGGTGTTCTGCCTCCTGTTATTCAACAGGGGGGAGAGGGGGCAGCAGGGAAGTAAGCAAGTATATCATTTTTGTCTGCAGTTGTCAAGTCATGTGGATCACCCAACAGCCTAGAGGACTCTAGGACAGTGGTTTTCAACCTGTAGTCCGCAGACAGACTATGTCGAACAGGCCTACAAAAGATGAATATGATCAATCAAAAGTATGTGAATACACACACTTACAATTCAAAGGAGTCCACAACTCCATTCAACATTTCCAAAGGAGCCCGCACCTTCATCAATGTTTTAGGGGTCCACAAATGAAAAGAGGCTGAAAACCACTGTTATAAGACTCCCAGTCTCTCAGGCTAGCTAGCTACTTTGGGAGCCCAACTCTCAAGTCATCTAATTCATCATGCTGCAGTAGTCAAGAAGCCTGGCCTGAGGACAGTAGTTATAACTACTGTCTGGACCCCGGGACTGCCAAATGGACCTTGAAAGCTTGTTTTAGATCCAACTGAGTGGAAGCTTGCTCTAGGACCAAAGCTGTCAGTGGAACCCAAATCTGGGCCTGAAGCAACTATCTTCCAAATTGGATCCACTAAATTTGAGAGAGAGAGAGAGAGAGAGAGAGAGAGAGAGAGAGACAGCGAGCTGTCTCTCTCACCACCTTAGGATTGAAGATACTTGCACCCTCTGTTTTTAGAGGATTGAGTGAGGATAGGGTAGGTAGCTCCTGTCACATGCGGCAGCAGGAGCCTAGGCTCGTGAGCTCATTGTACACTTCTGGCTTACTGGAGAACCTAAAGAAATAGGCTGGACCAGTTGAATGGCATTCTCCTTTTCAGGAACCAAACAAACCCTTGAGAACACTATAAGCAAAAAAGCCTTAAGCAGGATAATGGCCACAAGCTAGCAGAGAGCAGATTTAGACTGGACATTAGGAAGAACTTCTTCACAGTTAGAGTGGCCAAGGTCTGGAACGGGCTCCCAAGGGAGGTGGTCCTCTCCCCTACCCTGGGGGTCTTCAAGAGGAGGTTAGATAAGCATCTAGATGGGGTCATCTAGAGTATCTAGCTGGGGTCATCTAGACCCAGCATTCTTTCCTGCATATGCAGGGGGTCGGACTCGATGATCTATTGAGGTCCCTTCTGACCCTAACATCTATGAATCTAGGACTGCCTGGAATTTTGAGCCATTTTGGAAAGAACAGCACATGGGGCACTTGTGTGGTATCTGTGCAGCCTTAGGGCAAGAGGTATTTGGTGTCTATTGCTAGCAGTGATTATAGCCTTGCTGGGGGGAACAGACCTTGAATTTGGAGAATTTAAGTTCACTGTGCTGAGGAGGTCCAGTGATGGAGCACTTCCTAGACTGAAGATGTCTTCTATATTTTACATCACTTGTTTGTTTGCCAATGAGGTGAACAATAAACTACTTATACTTAGGAAAAATAGTCAGCAGAGAAACAAACATTTTGGGTCACAGCCATCAGTGGTAAAAGGAACTGTGGAGAGGCTGTGCCAGTTCTGCCCTAGACAGTCTGCAAAGTAAGGGAGCAGTTCCAATGGCGGCTGCAGTTCAAAAATGATTCTTATCTCATATACACGAGGAACATGCACACTAAATGTAAAAAAATGTGGAGAAAAATAAGAACCACCTTCTGTAGCCTGCCTTACTGAGCAGTCTGCTTTGCAGGAGCACATAAAAGGGGAAACGGTCAGAGGGAAGTTTCTTTACTTTCATCTAACCTACAGATAATATTTTTCTACTCAAAAAAGAGACTCTTCACAGCTTTCCCTCTGTGGACTAAGCGGTAGAGGAGATAAACAGTTTCCCCCTCCCAGAGCAATCAAAAAGCTTAAGTACTCAGCCAGTCATCACCCCAAGAGAAGCCCCTTCTCACTGAAGCTTTCAGGAAGACTGGAGGCACAGAGAGGAGAAAGAATGACATGGAAGTTGAAGGGAATCTTCAGCTCAAATTTCCCTTCACTATGCAGAACCCCAAAGACTCTCTCCTAGATGTGATTATTTAGTCAAAGTGCTAAACACATACACTACTCTAATTTCTAAAGACCATCTAATTTTTGGCACACCAGTATTAAAATGAAGCAACTTTATGTCCACTGAAAAAAAGAATTTTGTTTCCTCTTATAATATTCAGTTAAGGGGAGCCTTCTTTACACAGTAGTATTTAAGCATTTTATACTGGTACAACAGGGGCTGGGGTGGTGCAAACACTAAAGTGCATGGTTGGCAGACCAGAAGTTGCAAGTTTGAGGCTGTAGCAGAAGTGCTCATGGCACAGCCCTGTCAGATTCCAACAAGTCTTCAAATTCTGCTAAATACCTTGTCACTAGGACATGAAAAAGGAAGGAATGGACCAGCATAACAGATCTTCAGTTTATTACAGAATTAAGGTTTAGGAGTTTATTTCTAGCATTCCACACTGTACATGGAGCTGTACTCTTAAAATAAACTTATCAG